ACAAAACTTATTTTAATAGATTTTTTGAGCATTTAGTTCTGATCTGTTCTGCCACATTTTTCTGTGTCTGCTACCATGACTGCATCTCTTAGTGTGACCACACATTTGAATTTTGGCTCAGTCCAAATTCACCATGACAGTTTTTCAAGGTAGAGAGCTCAGACAAAAATCTCTGTTTAGGGCTGTTCACACAAAAGATTCTCCACAGAATAAGGCACAAAACACATAAAGGTATTTGTCTTTTGCAGCAAATTATTACACATTGTCCATAATCTAAAGAACTGTCACTGAGCCAGATTCCTGGTTTTATTCCTTTTATTCCTGGAGGGAAAAAAAAAAATCTTCTGACTAAACCTTAGTTTCAAATCACATTTAGACACCCAATTACTGTATTAAGTTTATTCCACAGTTTGACATCAATATCATAATCCAGTTACCTACCCCATGCTGCTTTAACTTGTGATAGTAAACATTTTCTGTTCAAGATATTGTACCGCAGCCACTGGACAGCCATAACTGATGGGATTATGTAAAAACAGCGGCTTATCACGGATGTCCTAACGTTTTCTGATGTTAAATACTCACTTGAGAATGACGCAACTGCAAATATTGCCAGTGGTTTTGTTTGCCAAGGTTATATTTTGCCTTCAGTGATGCAAAAAACCACAGGCTCTATTCCTGAAATAGCTGGTCTATAAATATGATACCTTTAGATACCCAGCTGAGCCAATGATTCTTTTGCCTTCAGACTTAAATGCTGGATTATCCCACTTGTGAGAAAAAAAATAGGCATTTTAGATATTTCACCTTACATTCTTATAGCATAAGAGAGATTGAATTTTCCCTATCATCTTCACTCACACTGAGTGAGAAAACTGCTCATGTGCTCCTTTCTTTTCCATCTGTGCCTTGCAGCTCCCTCAGCTCCTGCCACACCAAACTCCACCTGTTTGGCCAGTTTGCAAAACATTGTTATATTCTGGTAATAATCCTTCCTCTTTGGCTCTCCTGTCTTCTCATCCTCCAAGCATTTTTGAGACCAGGTTTCCTTTCCCTTAATACATCCCAAATACTATGCACGCCATAGCGTAAGTTCGTAGGCATCTGCAAATGGTTAAAGCAACCATAGGTCTTCAAGAGCTTAACAATTCTCATTTTTGGAGGGATTCAGGGTAATATTCCACCAGATATTATATGGTAGAAATAACCTCAAGAAAGAGGTATTTCCATTTTCTGATTAGCAAATGCTAACTGATACAGCTGAGTCAATGATGACCATAGAGAAAGCAAGAATTTCTAAGGAGCTATTTTGGGAAGCAGAGATGTGAAGAGAACAAAGCCAGAAGAGAATGAAAATCATAATGCTGAAAAATCTGTAATCCTCTAATAAAAACAGTTTTACAAATAGGAAGAAGTGATTTCATCCTCAGGTACTGTTCAATCTCTACCCTAGATCTCAAAGTGCAGAAAAACAGCCAACAGCTGTTCTTGCAGGACAAAGTGAAAGGGAAATGAGTAATGACTGAATGCTGCTGCCTAGTTACCCAGGGATGTTTGCCCCAGATAGCAAAAGCAGGAGCACCCAGACTGGGACTGCAGCTGTTGATAAGCTTTGGCTCTGTCATGAACCAGTGGACTTGTTTCATGCAGGTGTTTGATGCAATGGCCTCTCTTAGCAGATGTAACAGATCCCCTATCCCTTGCTACGTCCCACCATTCACTTGTACCTTATGCAATGACAGTTTTCATACACTGTTTTGTAAATTAATGACATTTCTCAAGTTGCTGAAAAAAAATTGTCATATTCTACAATAAGGTTCTCAGAAAAAAGCCACATCTTCAAATAATTCCACTCTGATTGAATACCAGTTAGAGGCTTAGATGTCAGTCTTGCAAAAAATACGTGAGTGCAACGTCTGCTAAATCTATATTAAATCTGTGAGTTTCTATCCTACTATGTTTTTTAATCACATTTTTACAATGACAGTCAAAATATGATCTCCATCCATTTATCTTCTTAATAATCAGCAATGCTCTTTTGTCTGCTGAAAGATCTTTGGTTTTGCCCACATAAGCTCTAAAAGTAGAAAACATGATGCAACATGCTATAAACTCCTGATCATTTCCATCTACCCACTGAACACACATTGTTTGCATCTGCTGAAACTGCTCCAGCCTTGGATAAAATGAAATCACTAAGTATACTAACATTTGTTAACATAAGAAAAATTTCAAAACCCAAGATCTTCCACTATATATTCTAAAAACCTCAGAGATCCCAGATCAAACGTTTAAGCACTGAAAAAACAGCAGCTCTGCTTAAAGTCAGCAAAACAGTCATTACCCACTACGTTTGAAAATAAGTTCTTAAATTTGTTTCAAACTGTGTATAAAGAACACAATTTTCAACTGAGAGGAAGTATGTATTTTTTTCATTTAACATAGTAAGGAATGACACTCTCAGCAGTTTTTAGTTGGTGGTATTTGAACTATGATCTTTGATTTTGTCCTAGAATTCTTCACATACCTTTTAAAGCCCCAGAAGTCCTAGGTGAGCACATCACAGTCTTTTCTTTCTAATTAAGGTCCCTCTTCTTCAAATGCCTTTCCATCTTTCTCTAGTGTAACACTGAGCTTTGTTTCCCAAAACCATTATCCAGAAATTTCTTTGTCCTCAGTTACAAAATCTCATTCCTATCCCTTCAAATATTTTTAGACTTTTGTAGTTCTGAAGAGCAGATAAGAACTTCCAGAAAGTGCAGAAGGTATTCACTTCTCACTGGTTTTGCCCGTCTTAAACCTAATTGCTTCTGTGTGCAATTCTGTCTAAGCCTTGGCAGATATTCACAAGTTAACTAGCCACCTTTTGTATCACAATATTACTTATAAAATAAAACAAGGTTTTAAATAATAATATAAATGTCTGAAGGATGGGAGAAACATCTCCTGAAATAATTATTTATGTCCACCGAGTATAGATCAGGTGTGCAAAGCTGTTCACCATGCCTGCACTGCAGACATCTAAGGTTAAGCAAGATGAATTCTACTGCATCCACCACATTCTTGGTCCACTCACTGGGATCAGATGGTACTGCAGAGATATTTTCATATAACAGACCATGTTAGGTTATCTGACTAGGCTAAGCAGTTAAACACAAAGCCATCACAAGGATCAGAAGAACAGTTAGTGAAAACTGAGCGCACAGACTCATTAGTCCTAAAAAACATGGAAGGGGAATGATTCAGATCACTGCTCGTGGTGCTAAACCCACAAAACAAGTGTAGGAAACTCCCTAGCAAACTGAGGGATTTCCTAAAGGCTTATAAGACCTCTTACACAATACAGGGGAATAAGAATTCAGGGACAGAACAGAGAGAAGTTAGGGACTATGTAAAATTTATTATAGATTTTGTTAGGGTATTGCAGCAATGTGCAAAATTTACTCTGGGATGTTTAAGGGAACCACTAAAGGTATGTAAAGGGAAGGACTAAGGTAGACTGAAGAGAAACAGGCATGGAGAACCCAAAGACAGAGGATAAAGGGGGCCAGTCCCATGTGGACAGCTTCCCAATTACACTTCACGGTGCGAGTCTCGCACTTCACTGCTGCAGTCCATCCCATATTCTCATTGCACCCTAGTTCTAACTGGTCTTGTGTGCATGTACCTGTCAAGGCTAGCAAACTTCAAGTGGGACTAGCCCATGAGCAGGACAATAGGAGTATGAGCCACTGGAGCAGGACCACATGTCTGAGGGACCTGAGGGTCCAGGGGCCAGCAACTGGGAGACACGGGCTGGATTGGCAGTCACCGCCTGGACTCCTGCCTCACACACAGCAGGTACCAGAGCCCCACAGGCACCACAGGCAGGTTCATGCACACGGTGAGGTTCAGTCCTGGCCAGCTGGGGAGAAGGAAGAGGGCGCAGCAGCAACACTGGAGCACAGCCCTGTTTACACAGGTGCTCCAGTGTACAGGCACTGCACTCTGCCCCTGTGGAATTGTGGCTGGCCGTGTGTTTGTTGTTTGTATTGCGTGTGGGTGTGCACACGGGTATTGTTTTGTATTGTTACAGGCTTGCTGAAACAGAATCACAACAGCCTGGGGTCCTTTGGCTTGGGAGGGGAAAAAAGCCTTGGTCCTAAAGGCCAGGGAATTCTACAATGAGCACAGTGAAGAATGCCCACACCAACACTAGAAAAAAAAAAAAACTCCTGTCAAAATTTTTTAGTTAGTCTAAAATTTTTACACATTCCATATACCTGAGAGGCCATTTAGCTTGTTTTAAATATCTAGAACATACATAGGGTCAAAGAAATTATCTGTTTCATTACATAGCTTGGTTACAACAAAGCAGGAATAAAGCACTGATGACTCCATAGCTGCTCTATCACAAAATATCTAAAATTCACTAATCCTATGAATATTGATTTAAGTCTTTCTGCATTAAAGATGCTATTTCTCTTTCAAAATACTCTTTGAGTATCTTCACAAAGTAAGAATACTTACAGAAATTCTTTTTTTTTAATCAGCAGGTCTGTAGGCACTGCATTGATTTAGAAAATAAACCATCATCTCCCTTTTTTCCCCTCAGTCAATGACACCAAAATTTTGAAGGCAAACACTAGTATTTTCCCTTATTATTATTTCCTTAATTATTCCTTATATTTTCAGTATCTTATGTGATGCTAAGGATTTTATTCTGCATACACTTGGGTACACACACATGCAGATGCATGTATCCATATTCTTTTTACATATAATGATTTCAGAGACAAACTGAAAGAGTTTTCAAAAGGCATAAAGCCACTGCAGCTAGCCCAACAGTGTAAAAATCCATGGCCAGGGATCCTCAGAACTGACAGATTGCAAATGCCACCTGCAAAATTCCAAATGACTGATTTCCAACCAGAAAGCCCCAACGCAGACTACATTGGTTTTACAACTAGTGTGTTTCTAGAAGTCATAGCAAGATTTGATTTTGGAAAACAGACTTTTTCCTGGAATGCTGAGGGTACCCTACTTGATGCCAAGACAGATCTCTATGTATGACCTCACCCACTGAAGTTGGAAAAGGAATTCATAACCAAATGCACAGACTCCAAGTACCCTCCTAACTTTAAAATTCCTTTTTTCAGCATGCTGTTACAACCTTTCTAGCAATTTTTAGCCAACCCTGCTCCTCTGAGTTGCACCACTTGGGTCCTGTCTGAAAGCAACTGTGCACAACGGTCTTGGAACATAACGAGATCCTTTGGCCATAGCTCATGCCATACTGCTCACATCAATATCACACCATAACCAAACTTTGGAAATGAAAGCTCTCGTTACATTCAGAGTTCTGCACCAAAGCTCATAAATTCAAAGGAGCAGGCCTTGCTCAAACCAGAGGTATCATGACTCAACAAATCAAGAACCAACTACTTCAACTCAAGCTAAACTGACAAAGCTGAAAATTTTTAATCACATTTTAGAAGATTAGTCTGGTTTTGCAAATTGTGCAAGACTTGACTACAGCTGTGTCACAAGCCATACTTTGGACCGCATATTCTCCCTCAATTTTTTCAGTATTTTAGGAAGGAAATAAACTGTATTTGGCACAGAGTGCACTATATTAGTACAACAGGCACACAGCCAGCATCAGTCTATTCCCTGATCTGTTCCACTCCTTCTCATCATCCTACTTATAGCTCTTCAGATTTGCTTCTCTTCCTGCATCATCCCATAAGGTAAGTGGTCCAGAGAGTAAAGATACATTATGGCCTCTTATCACCAAAGAGCCATAATTTTGCTATGATGATTCAGGAATCTTGCCCAAACAATACTGCAAGAGACAAGTGAAAGAGCAAGAACTAGAAATGCATATGGATTAGTGTCAGTAGATATATTAAACAGGATACTACAGGAAGGCAAGTACTCGAAGTGCTCAATTTCCAGGCTAAAAAAAGGTTTAAAAGTATAAAGTTTATTATAATCGAGTTCATAATTTTAATTATTTTTTGTGCATAAACTCAGGGTGGGGAGAGTGTTGTTACAGACTGCACCATAGTGCAAAGGTTAAAGAAGATCCTTCTGTACAAAAGATGTTAAGCAAAATTATTGTTATTACATATCTCATCTGTTTGAAAGAGAAAGCTTTCATCCTAGAAAGCCTAGTTGAATTCCAGCATCATTTTCTGATCACCTTAGTATCTTCAGTAAAGTTAAGTTTATCCCACAGGAAGAGAAGCAGAACATTTCCCAGACAAACAGTAGAGGAAGTTTGGGCTACAGGTACCTACCTTGTGAAGCATGAAACTTCTATTTTTCTTCTATAAACTTAAAATAGAAGGCTTATGATAAATCTCATCTAAAGAAGTTTCTGTGGTTTATACAATTTATGTTATCTTTTATCCAGATTTTAGAAGTTTTAAATAAGTTAAAGAGAAAAAATTATTCAACTATATCATTGTCAATTTTAGGAACTTAACAGTCTGAAGTTTGCCAAGTTATATAACAATAGTTAAGAAGACAGAAAAAAATTATGTTTACAGATGTCAGAAAATACTGCAAAATTCCTTCTGGATAAAAGAAAGATAATATATTGTATGTAAGAAGTATAATGCAGGATATTTGTTCAGTTGGAATAATCAAGAACTAGTCCAATGCCTTAAGGTCACTTGTTTTCTTTATTAAATTTGTTTGAATAAAAATTAAAAACCAGACAGCACAAGGAGAATCGATTTTATAAGTCTGTAGGAAACAAGGGTTTTTTTGCTTTGATAAATAAGAATCTATTTCATCCTTTTTTGTAGTAACAGTACCAAGGAATAAGACAGGAACTACAGACATTCTCCGTCAAGTTATCTGCTTGTATCAAAACGGTCAAACTCCACTGCAATACACAGTGTTGGGGCAGTAACGTCAGACAGACAAATGGCAATGAAAGATTACAGTGCTAATTCTCATAAGTACCCAAAGCAGATGATGACTTCAGAAGTCAGAGGATGTGTAAAGTTGAAGAAAAGCCACGTTCCTGGAGCCATATGCTGTCTTACCAATGTCCATCAAATTTTGTACAGTGTATCCATTCAATAGTGACATTTTTCTTTCATTGTGACATTTTGTACATGAGAAAACAATTATTTCACTACCGCCACAATATGTTTCTTCCTCTCTGACACAAATGGCACAGATCCCGGTTTGCTGTGCTTGCGACGATTCAGTTCCCTAGAAACAAAAAAACCCAGAAAAATGAAATTCAGTAGTCAGCACAAATGTTAAACAAATAACAGTTTCCTCCTCAAGGTATTAATGGAGACATCCTACAAGTGAAAAAGAAAAGAATTGCTCTTCTTTTATTAATCAGTAGCCACATATTCCTTCAGGAAGAAATGCTGTTCCTTTTAAAAGTAACTTTAGAGTTGGCTAATTGAGAAAAGTTTCAAATCAAGCCTTTTCTTGGGAATTCAGCTTGATTTTCATGTGACAGGATTGGCTGCTGAAGTCTGTAGAGTCTTTCAGCAGATAAAGATGACTAAAACCCACTTCTTAGCTTAGCTTTGGCTACAGCAAAGTATGCCACCTCCTGCTCCTAGAAATTCCAATATGGCAATGATCTAGGTGACAGCAAACATTCATCATGGAGTCTCACATTATATAAAAAACCCAAAACAACACAAACCCACAAAAAAACAAACAAAACCAAAAAACCCACCACACCAAACGCAGCCCATTCTGTTTCCATTGCCATGTGGTATCACGTCATGCTAAACAAAGCATTTTCCTTATAATCAATCCAGTAGCTTGTGATCACTCGTTCAGATGTTAAAAGTAGCTTATACTCGTTCCTCCCACACATCATATCTCTATCATTCCCATCCATTGCTGCTACAGCAGCACTGCAGTGATGCATGTTTTAAGACGAAGAGAAAACAAATCCAGAAGAGGATGACATACTTTCGCCGACGAGCCTCTCTCATGATGCGCTGCTCCTTGATTTGGCAATATATGCTCTTGGGCAAGTGACGGTGCTGAGCAATGCGCCTGATCTGTGGGTGAAACTGGAACTTCTCCTTCAGCTTCTGATTGTAATTCATAGCTGCCTTCTCTCGTGGTGCAAGCTACAGTGAAAAGAACACAGACAAGCACGTTATGAAAGAACAGGGATTTAACTGTCAATCTTTTCTACAAAACAGAATTTTAACTTTTAATTCAAGTGGCTTCCTTCTAGCAAATGTTTGTAACCACAGGATCTTCAGAATTAGCATAGGGAAATATTAAAAAAACCTAAAATTCCAACAACATCCTGATGCTCAAACACAAAAGTTTATTCACAGTTTCAAAGTTGAGTGAAGTAAGCAAATTTAACTCCTGAAAATCAGATTTTAATGTGCTGTAGAAAAACAGGAGGGAATATAAATAGCTGACAGTAAAAGCTCATTGATCAGTCTTTCCTAACCTCAGATGATCAACTTTACCTGTAAAAGAAAGATCTGCAGGCATTTTAATCACTAGCCAGTGTAAGTACAAATGCTGTAAATGAACTGCCTTAATGAACAGCTTTACCGACATCTTTTTACACAGCCTAAATCTTACCCAGCACCTTGATCCCTTAGGAAGCACAGTGCACACATCAGATTTCAAGTATTAGCTTCACTGTATGACACCAGGGAGTTTCCACTTTTATCAAGCTGCTAAAAAAATCTTAGTGACACAAACACATGAAATTCAGGTGAGCCAGTACTGCCACTTTTATCCATGTTCAAAATTATGTCTGAGCCACCATTAACAACCCTGGAAGTGAAAAATGCCTTCTCCTGACAACCAACCTACAGAATATTTTTTTTTTCAACTAGGCATTTTTTCTTGGGTCCTAATACTTATTTATCGAAAGGAAAAAAAATATGTGTGTGCTGTATATTTGCCTAAAGCATTCACTGCTTCATGAGGAATATCAGTCTCTATGTATTTTGGATTTTCTCAGATCTCTAGAAATTTCAGCTGCATTTCAGTCCAGTGAATTTTCACATAAACATAAAATCTGTTAATATTAAATATTAACAGATGATAATCCCACTCTCTTTTTTTCCTACCCTCCTGCCCAAAATACGCTCTATAGCTCCAGTGTTTCAGACACATTTTCAAACTAGCTGTGGAACAAGTCTTTTGCCTTCTTGCATTAATTTCATACACTACCATCTGCACCTAAAATACTAAAAACTCAGACAACTATTTTATTTATTATTCAGCTTTGAAAATGACTCAGTTTCACTAATTTCTTATTTTCAAGAAAAGACGGAACCCAAGTTTCAGATGCTAAGAGAAAAAAAGCAGTAACAAAACCAACAACTTTATTACACACAGAAAGTTTGGAAATGCCACCTACATTATAAATGGAATGTGTTTTTCCCCTTTGAAATCAGCAGTTGGCTATTTATTTTCCACTCTGGAGATCACTTTTATAAGTGACTTCTGTTAAAATATTTAATGAATTCTGAAAAAAAAAATATCATGCTCAGAAGATTTTGGTTTGGAATACCATAAATGGTCTGAAAGCAAGTATTGATAAAACATACCACAAAGGAGTTTCTCATTTGGGACAATAAAGAAACCAGGTACCATATGCAGAGTTGCTCATTGCTCAAAAAATTCTTATTCAGGCATCAGAGATACATAATGCTCTTAACCTCCATTTCACCCTACCCTCTTGTTCGGAAAACCCAAATCTTTTTGCTTTACTTATATTTTTGTGACCTCTCTAAGTGAAACAGAGTAAATTTTACAATCCTAACCCACTAAAGCTACACCCTCTGCTTTTTACTGAAATTCCTTCTAGCGAGCCAACCTGAATAGCTGGTTCACTCTTAATAAATCCCAGGTGTTCCCACTCTGCAGAAAACTGCCAACATAATCCAAACTAAAGAGCTTTTATTTTAATTAAATGCAATGATTTTCCTTTAATTTAAGAAGAGCAAATTGCTGCCGATTTAGTATAACCTTGATGATTCTACAGACAAGAGGTGAATCTGTAAATTAAAGATAAATCCAGGATATCTTATTTAAAAAATTAATATAGGTCAAGAGGTGGTTGAGTCTGACTCCATTTTTGTCTGCAATGTGGTATACAAAAAGGCACACAGTTAGTGACTTTCCATCCAACTATCAAATGCCAGTGGACAAAACACCAGGCTGTGCTAAATGCACCCTCATCTACATCATGGTAAAAGAAAATTAAAATTTTGCAGTAATGACAAGTTTCTGTTTAGGGGAGATAGCAGATAGCTAAGAAAGCAGACTGCAATAATCCACTGAATTCCAACCTCTCTCTTGCAAGTCATTTTACAAAGGTCAACGTGAACAGCTGAAGAGAACAGCATTACTCCCCATTCTGTTTTGGGCTGGAGAAGATGCACAGCATGATTTAGCAGGATTAGAGATTTTGTTTATAGGGACTACAACACTGTATAATATAATAAATTGAGATTTATATGACATCATGAGACATGCTCAAAGATGACATATGACTCTTTTTTCCATACATCTCATTTCATACATACGTAAGTGAATGTGCAACTTCCTTCCTACATGAGAAAAATAAAAATTATGTGGCAGAAAGACAGCTGATTTGTGCCACTTCACAGCGAATACCTAGAGTGAAAAAGGGAGAAAAAGAAATCTTTAAATGCAACCAAGTTGCCAGCAATAGGAAAATGCCTCCTCCAATAAACTGCCCATGCCTCTCTCCTCCCTCCTGATGATGGAGGCTGATTATTTTTCACATCTAAATGGAAGGTAAGCATTTTTCCAGAGCCCTGATTGAAGAGCTAAAACCACCTTTTAAAAAAAAAATTATCCTTTTCAAGAGGGCTGTATTTGTACTGTGCAGTATTTAAAACTCCATGCTGTTAGACTTCCGTAATTCAGCATAAGAATATGAAATTAATGTTTATCAGTCCTCTTCAGGTTGCCCTTCTAGATTAGGGCAGGCAAGAGCACTGATGTAATATATTTTTAGAATCAAAACATATCCCAGCAGTTTTCTAAACCATAGCTTCTCTTCATTTATTTTTCCATTGCTCTGCTGAAAACACCTTTCTAAATCTGTTGTCATTAAGTTTATTATTCACTATTTCCTGGACCAAAAAATTTTGGCTTCTTTACATCTAAATGGATGACAAAAATAAAAAAAGAAAGATAATGTAAGGCAATGTGGATGTTAAGAGCACAAAATCATAGCTAAAGGGCTGAAGCTACAGGTGCACCGAATCAATCACAAGCCCAAAATCACTATGAAAAGAATGCCATGTCACACAGTATCTGGTACTGCTTGTTATCAGCATTACCTCAGAAAATGGAAATACTAGAACCAGACCAAAAGGATAAACAATTACTTAAGACAGTTTTGATGTGCTACTGCTAATGCACTTTGCTAGATCAAAACCAAGACTCGTAACTGCACTTCCTCCTCTCTTTCGAACTTTATTCAAATCTGTTATTTCTGCATCTTGTAAGAAAGCAGCAAACCTATGCTCCACTAGCACTATGCTCAGCACTAGTTTTACTGAAATACCAAGCAGAAGATTATCTTATTCAATTGTCCAGTGCTCTGTTCTA